AACCTAAAATAAAAAAATAATATAGTAAGTACCAAAATAGTTTTCAAATAAATATAAATTTGCAGATACACTGTATGACTAACAATGTGTTACTCCCTGCTTAGCTCCTATGAGTCATTAGCATTAGTTAGAGTGCTATTGCTCATGGTAGATCACCTAAACAACAAAACTTGGAAACGGAAAATTTCATTCCTGTTCTTTCTTATGACTAATTCTGTTGCTCTCCAGTAGTTGAAACCTGAAATTCAATCTGGGAGGAGTAGGTTTTATAAGTGTTAGGTATATAAACATTGCTGATAAGGAACAAAACAGTTGCCTCAGTAAGAGATGAAACCACTCTCCGAAAACAAAAACTTACAGGAGTGTATTGTCAAAAGGTAAATAAGAATTTAAAAAATTGGATAGAAATACCCCTATTATAATGATAAACTTATCTTGGTTTACCTGGCAGAATAGACCAGGGAGTGAAAAATACAGAAAAACAGTTTAGTGTACTGTCAGTTCTGCTTTTATGTCCTCTACTTCAACTGTGCTTGCCTCCAATGAAAACTCTCAAAAAGTAAGATATTGACATACCTTGATAAATCTTTCAGAAATGTGATAAAATAGAAGAACTTGTGCAAAGGAAATAAAAGCTCATCCTGTGAAACTTTAAAACAAGATTAGGGCATATCCTTAAGGGATGCAGGGTGTTGCTGCTCTGGAAAGCAGGTGCTAGACTGAAAAGTCAACCCTGGAGTGTCGCCACTTCTAGAACAGGAACATCACTTCCTGCTCTCCGCATAGGACAGCATATTGGGATTAGATCACCAACATTATACAATAGATTAGGTTCTTAAAATCTAAACTAACTGGCTTCCTATTTGTTTGTATAACTTCAACAAACCCAGTTCCAAGGATACCTTAGGCTAGGGCACAAGGGTACTTACAGTGTAAAACACTTCTTTTTAGCATCCACATATATAAAAAACAGGATCATATTCCACTGAAAAGTAGCTAGCGTGAATTTTTTCCCAGTATTTTGAGTATTTATATACATGATGCAAAAGACACAGTCATTTTATATTTAGAATTATGTTTTTAGTGTAATGGCCATTTTTTTTCCTCAGGTGATTTATTCATCCATGCATTTCAAAACATCTTTTCTTAATAAATACATTTTAGCAGTTAACTGAAAAGGGAAGTCTGGTAGGAAGAAGAAAATAAACAGAAGTATTTATAGATTAGTTGTACAGATTAGAATTTAGAATTTTCTAATCTAATGTTATTAGATTAGAAACAACTCACAGTATTTGTTTCTCAGTACAGAGCTGCTGGAAAACTACTTGATTTCTGCATGTTTCAGTTTCTGAAAGTATTTTCTCTGTAACTCCTGGAGTAAAGAACTCCGAAGATTTGGTAATGTTATGCAAACGGCCACTACATCCAAAGAATAGCTGTTTGTTTTGACTAATAAAAAAAGGAGATCCTGCACTGTGAAGTGACCATAAATAGGTACAGCATAATCCTTACATAGACAAAACTCAGAGATTTCAGCGGGAGTTCTGCCATGTTTAATGCAGGACAATACTGCTATTTCTCAGGCAAAATCAAGGAGGAAACAAATAGAGCACAGGCAAATCCCACAGGATGTCCACACAATTGTTCCATACCCAGAAGATGGGAAGGAATCTAATGTGAAGCAGTTTCAGTGATATTGCTGCTGAATGACTAATAGCTCAAAATATCCAGTTCCCTACTGGCTCCACTTGAAGAGCAGCCAAGAAAACATTCTTACTCATCAAGATGAGTGTGAGAACTTTTGTTTTGTGGATTTAGGAGAGGAAATACAAGAAAAAACTTCACAGAAAACTAGTGTATTTTGAATCTGTATTGCTTTTCAGGGCAAGGGGGTGGTGGTGTTCAGCCTCTTCAACAGATGTCTTCAAATATTCACCAGCAGAAGCACAAAAAAAAAAAAAAAAAGCTGTGCAAGGCTCTGGGAGTTAACTGACCTGTGGTTAATGTACCAACTACACGTTCAGTGTCAGGAATCCTTCTAATCCCTCCCTTCTAATCCCTCCACAGATCCATGAGGTGGGATCCATAGCAAAATGTTCTGCTGATCCTACTTTTGAGTTTGGTTGTCTGCCACCAGTAGAAGTATGATCTGGACTCTAACCCCAGCAGCCTCAGTTCCTGTTTGCTTACTATTTAATCCACCTTCAATTACAGCTCTGCTACTGAGACAACCCTCTATATGGACACTTTCCACACCTCAGAGATTATAATTTAATTTGGGTTACTACTACAAATAATCCTAATGAAACAGCTCAGCATTAAATCTCAGCCTCCTTAATAAAGTTTCTGAAATTAGTCATTGAAGTCAATAAAAAGAAGTTATGTGGTTTGTTCAGTATAATTACTTTATAATTAAACTTCCTGGCAGTGACATTAGAGAGCAAGTAAATGTTTTTAATCAGTTAAGATGTTAGTTTAAAGACTGTAGTTTCATCAAGTTTCATCTTGATACTCCATCATGTATTGATTGCCTCATTTATTTTGTTATTTTGTCAATATGTGCACAGTGACATTAAAAGTTCTATAAACTAGCTTTTAGAAACACTTTAGGAAAAAAATCATGCAACGGCTCCCAGATCACTCTCAAAATCTCATATTCAAAACTTACTGATCAAAAAGTGAAAAAGCAAAATAGAGAGGTAACCACTTGAACTAAATCTACGGAAGAAAAAAAATCTGAATACAATGGCCATTTATGATACTACTCATTTAAAAATAGTTATTGTGCTGGACCTTGTATGTATATAATCTGGTTTTAAAACCTAAAATCCTTCTCAGATTCTAGAGGAGCATCCATCACTCACAGCAGCTTTATAAAGCATGAAATCAGCAAAACAGTAGCTTCTTTTTCCAATACAACATTACCTTCTTTTTAATCCAAAAAGTGCATAATGGACAGAAAAAAGTTTTTAAAATTATCTCAGAATGCAGTCAACTGATCAGTAGAGACTATCTGATCAATAGCAACTATGGAAAACTCATAACGTTTCTTTCATTAAAAGAGAAGGAAGAACAGGAGCAAGAATTTCAGTCCAGGGCTGTGATTTTAGCCAAACTGACCTGTTACTAGATAAAACTCTAATATAACCTTATACTCCATTAGAAATATCGAATTTGGCCTCATTAGATCAGAAATCAAAGAAAATTTATCTTCTGCCCTTAGAAAGGGCCTAACACCAAATGCTTTAAAGGTTAACGAAGGAAAAATTTGACAGTTTGATGCATATTAAACCACTTTTCAAACCTTGAGCCTGCACTGTTCAGCATAGGATTTGTATTTAACATGTCAGGTTGGAATCATGAACCTTATTGATTATTAGATATGAAACGATTTCGCCAAAATTCATCATATCTCCATATTTTAACATAATTTTAGGTTCATTAAATCAAAGACGTCTTGACATCAATTTAAATTTACTGTGGAGTATAAACTGCAGATTCGACAATTGCACAAATCTATGCAGTCATATCAGATGACACTGCTAAGTATAATCTAAAATACACTTAATCCAAATTTTCAACAATTCAGATGGCAGAGCTTTTGTTGCCTCATTCAGAGAGACAATGTAGGTACTAATACATTTTTAAGACAAAGCCCCCTAAAGGACCTTGAATTTGGCCAGTTAAAGACTGCACATTCTGAATTACCATTCACATTGGATAATTTTACCCAGATTTAAGCAGATGGAAATTAAAAATGTTGTTTATAAACTGGAAGCAATCTCAGACAGGTTTATATACACATACAAATGACCATAACTATGTACTTCAGACACTTTGAATACTTGAAAATTCAACACAATCATGGCCCATAAATAGCTAAAGTCTAAATGTCTAATGAAATGGAGTAGGCTCAGTAATAAAGTAACAGTTTTCTGAAGGATTCCTTAATTTCACAGGCAATAGGCAATAGATTTTTTTTCCAGTGCCAGAAGTGCATCACAGAGGGAATGCAGCAGTTAATCTATGAGACATAGCAAAATATCCTGAAGAATGATTTATGCCTAAGCTTTACACTCATACTATACTGGGATAACGGTTCAAACATCCCTTCTAAACTTATCTCTGCTGCTGTAACAGTAAGAACAGGTACACAATCAGTAACTGGTGTACAAGCCAATAGGCTTTACTTTATGTATACAAGTACTTACAAGTACTTCAAGGCAACTTCTTACGCCCCACAAATGGCACATTTCAAGGAACTCAAACTGAATATTACCACACTGTCATATTTTGATGTACAAACACATTGCATTACCATCATCTTTTGAATGATTTTCAGCCACAGAACTATATACTTTCAGGCATAGACCTACATACAGTAGTTACAAAGACATTTGAGACTTCATCTGTCAGTTTTTTTAAATTATGGGGTTAAAAAGAAAAAAAGAAAAAAGCATGGATACATCTTTTTTCTAATAAGTGGTTTCATTAACATCTTCAGTGATTCTTATCAATGCTTTTGAATTGCCAAAGCATCTTGCCAAATTCAAAAGGAGAATGATTGCTCCAAATCCTAGATACTTTATGAAGGAGCTCAGTACTTTCAAATCTGCCAGGTTTCATTATTTACATGATGCTGTTTAGATTGTATTTTTTATCTTTACAATTGTTTCCTAAAGAAGACATGTAGCACTTTCATTATACACTGAATTCAGACTATTTTTAAGATTAGCTTGTCACAAAACAATGATACTTTTTTACATAAAAGTGCAATTGGAAAAGTTATTGTGCAAATGCATTTCAGTTGTTTGCAGCAGAGCTGGCTAAATGAGTGGCCAGCATTTATTACCAAACAAACCTGCCATAAATGCAATCCATTACATCAATATTGGAAATACCATACTCCTTTTGACATTCATCTTTTTTTTCTGCCTGCTAGGAATTCTAGTTATGATTTCATTGTGTTGAGGACAGACCAGTCTTTTCCATACACTTACCCTCTGACAGCATGAATAAGTCTCAGGGATGGATAGGCAGTTCGCACTTTCAATTTATTCTTAAGGATTAATGCATTAACCCATTCCACATGCTTCTCTCCACCTTTGACCATGAAAGCTGGGATCCAAAGGACACTGTCATTCAGCATGGACAGTCTATGCACAAATTTTTCTCTGTCACTCTCATTCCGAAAGCCTCCAAAAGCTCTTTGTACAACTGATGGGTTCATGGTAATAAAATCAGATTTAGTTCCCACATCGGCAGCATACTCCACCACAGGAGCTAGATTGCACCTGAAGAGGAAGAAATTAATGGAAAAATGAAAACAAATATGAAATATTAACTCAGAAAAATGTGTGCATGAAGGGAAACCTAAAAAGGAACATGAAAGCCCAATTCCATTTAATGTGAGAAAAAAATACCAATATAGAAGGTGTGATAATACATAGTATTTTACTCAAGTTGGACAAGGATCAGACAAATTTTTAAAAACATTAAGTGTACAGAATGCTGTGACAAAACAATACTCCCCTTTGGAATCATTTGGAAACCATATCGTTATGCTCTAGAATGCATCAACATATAAAGCAGCACTTGTGAGTAATATGCTTTCTTAAACCTTTTACCTTTCATTATTTGTTTATCATCATATTGCCACATTCTTTGTATGACAGCTCTCACACAAAGAAAGCCATGCCAACAAAATAAGGCATATTTTATACAATTTAGTCCATGCATTTTTGTTTTACTTTATTTACAACACAGTATTTATATATTATTTACAAACAACCTTTACCCCATCTTTAAATGAATTTTTGGTACTTTTGGTTTTGGTATTATCACTACAGTTGGGAAGATGTTTAGAAATTTTTATTTGACTTATAACTGCAATTTTTGGAAAGAAGTAATTAACTGTCAGTTTTCATTCATATCTCATTTTCAAACCTTCTTTAATTTTTCAGTAGCTTTGTGCCTTTTTCCTAGGGTTGAAAAGTTCTCATTTTGCCTTTGTTCAGCAGATTTTTACCTCAATTACATAAATACATACATATGTAATTCCACATACGTATTGAATGCAGGTGACAAAATTCAGAAATTAGCTGTGACTTCAGCAACCAATATACTGTGACAGAAACAAATAATTTCCACAACACCCTCAATGAATTAGCCTGTAGCTGGCATGCCCCAAAAATATACCCTAACACAACAATATTTTAATAACTAAACAGACTGCTCTGTTTGAGGCAAAGCATGGTAAGAAGCAATGTTGGAACAGGCTCCTCCAAAACATTTGCACATTATCACACTCCTAATATAAACAGTATTCCATTAATTTTGCAATTTTTTATGAACTAGTTTCTTCTAATGCCAGATGTCCAATGACATAAAAATAAGTCAGCATTACTTAACACCAACTGATGACTTAGTGCTGTCTGATAATACTAATTACCCAGAAAAAATTTTTCATTATATAATTATCAGGTTAAGAAGTGGTCCTACATTCTTCAGAAAGATGTTCTGAAGACTATAAAGCAACTATGTAAAGACTATTCCTAGGAGATAAAGAAGTCAAGGTTTCTGATAACATGTGGACAGATGTAGGCTAAGGAAATAGATTTACATTCTTCATTATCTTTATACATCTATTCCATAAACCATCTGCATGCATTTCAGACTGCTAAGAGTCGTATTTCTAGAAAATTGTTAGGGCATAAGAAAAACTCCCTCTGAATTTAACACTAGCTTTGTAAATTTCTTCTGAAAACCCTATTGCATCAACTTACCATCTGCTACTACTAAAAGTTTTTTTAAAATCTAAAAATAAATGTGATGAAATAATCAAACCAAGTACTTAAAGCCAACTGATCAAATTGACTGAATTACTGCTGCTCTTGAAAATACCTCTTTTACGGGCAGATTGCACAACATAATGAGGGATTTGTATAGTGGGTTTGTTTTAGTAGTCACATATACACATGAAAAATGTAAGACAGATCTTGACATTGCAAATCCTGTTCTCTCTGAGTCCAACTTTAAGAAACAGACCATGTAGGTACCAACATCACCATGTCTAAAAAGCTGTAGGCCATATGCATTCATTGTATATAATTACTGCTACATCAGTAACTCAAATATGTATTTTAGAAAAGCATACAGTGTAAGCAATATAAATTTGTAATTTATCACACACTCATTTTTCAAGTATAACTTCAGAAAATAATGAGCAATCCAAATACACTCAGTAACAATAGAAATGCAATTCTTTACCATGCTTAGAGTAAAACTTCTTGCTTATAACTAGTCTGAATCTACATTCCTTCGCTTTAAAATTATTGCACCTTGTCCTGGTGCAACAGGCTGGGCTAAAAAGTTTATCCCTATACTTCTTATATGCTTCACGGTTAAAACTGGCTATTGTGTATTTGTACATAGACCTGAGAGTATGTATATAGCTTTTACCTGTTTTGGAACTTTTATCTTAACCTCTAATACATTTTTATGCTATGCCATAGTTTCATACTGCTGTTGGAGTTTTTAAGTTATTTTTTTAGAAGATGTCAATGACCTCCCACGAATTCTCATGATTCTTTCAAGAAAACTTCACATTCAGAAGCAAACATACATATATTAATATTCTTTTAAGTGAAATGAAGAAACCTATTAACTGAACAACTTTTAAATAATCAAAGCAATATTCTTCCCTTGTTGTATTTTTTAATTCTAGCTAATTTGCCATAAGGCACAGATGCTAAATATAATCACAACAGAGATGAGGTAGTGAAAGTGCACTAAAAGCATTACATGCCTAGGGATATATTCACCATAAATGAAACAATACCTTACTGAGGTTTTTTAAAGAAGAATATATAAAAGATTGTAATTTACTGAAATTCATCTTTCTCATACGCCACATTATTAGTACCATGTAACATATGAATGCATCTGCACAAACATCTTGCAACATACCATCATTTTCCACTCATTTTAAAAACAACCTCTGTGCTGTCCTTATGTTAGCATGCAAGTAAGCAGCCAACAGGTGAAAGCTGAGCAAGAAAAACTTGCTATGTTAATTTTACTGAGAATAAAAGAACAGTAATGAAGAGTCAGATTGAGCACCGAAGATTGACTTGATTAAGCAAATAGCTAAAAATTTCAGTATTGATGATATATCACATTATAAAAAGGTTTGTAAATCTCCTAGATCTCCTTCCCCTGTTTTATGGAAAAAACTAGCAAAGGAGCCCATGAAAACCATTATTTTAGACAATTATTTTTTCTGGGAGAATAGACAGCTATTTCAACAAGGTAGCTACTCTAAATATAGTATTAAGCATCAATTATATTATTTAAGAAATTTCTAAGCTTACAGAGGTACCTAACTTAAAAAATACTATGTACAACTACTAAAAGGCAAATATACCTATAAAATATTCCCTGTAAAAATACGGGGGTTCCCACACATGAGCTTTCAGTGTGATAACAGAGATTTTCAACTGAAAAATGCACTGCAATGCTATCACTAAAAAGAGCTCTGGGATAAAAGGAAATAATTAGATAATGTTTGAAATATTATGTAGTATTTGAGCACGCATAAAACAACTGAGATACTAAGACACACAAACCAAAAACTCTCAGTGATTGAAAACCTGCTTCTTCCACAAACACCTGAAGAATGTATTAGTTACAGCAAGATAAGTTAAGAAAAAAAAGCAGAGAAAAAACTGTTAATGGCTGAACTTGTATGCCATGAGAAAAAGATGAAGAATGGAGTAGGTGCTCCTATACTACACTTTCACCAAAGTGGGTGATCATCCTTGGGTTTACTGTGCCATCTATATGGCTCAAACATCCATAACATCACAGTCTTTTAGAAAGCAGAGCTCAACAAGAAAATAATGCAATCAAAATCATAAAAATATGCTCAAATGAGAAGTCAGTTATTCTTCAGAGATTCAGTTCAACTTGCTTTGTCATTAATAAGTATACAGATCATTTATATGAATACAAAGGTCCAGCACACAGTATTCATAGACCATATTTCAAGTTAGTTTTTAAATAAAGGCCATTAAAATTTCATTGAGTAAAATGGCTATCATTTCCATTTTATCTGACATTGAGAACCAACAGTGGAATAATGCAAGAAATGGCCACGAATCTGTAGACTTCTTAATCCTCTTAACAATTGGTGGACTTAAGGATTACAAGTTGAAATAAGTACTTTAAAACACTATAAAGCCATGGGAAAGAAGTGCTTTATACCAATGCTTTGTTTCATTAGTATCTTCTCTTTGTAGATCTAAGCCAAAAATATCACTTGCACAGAAATAAACACATACATTCTGAGTAGACAAAAAACGAAAATCAGATTGTTGCTGGCAGATATATTAAACCTTTCTGAAACATAAGGCATTACACAAGATGAGTGTCAATAACATATACTTCCTTCCTGAGTAGCCAGCAAGATTCATATCCAAATTCTTGTAAGAATCAAAATAATAATCTTGAGTTCAGTGGTTCATGCCGTTTTTAGGAAATAATTGGACATGAAAGAAAAATTAAGGGCTCGAGCAAGCAGAAGAGGAAAAAAAGAGTTCAAGACTGAAGAGAACCTCACAGCTGGACTACACTCAATCTAGATGCAAGAAGCACACTACCCTAATATTTGGGTGCATATAGCACATCTTTTGACACAGCTTTTTAAATAAAGGTGTGCAGCAGTGCTGTGGTAACTTTCACACATGCCCAAAATAAGAGAAATTTACAAAAAACAACATGCACCAACTTCCTATTTCCCCCAACAAATACAATTATTAGTAAAGTGTATGGATTCTCACATGTTCTGCATACTTCTGTGGCTACTGAAAAAAACCTAAAATGGCTTCAAATTAACCATAGGAATTTGAAGTAATAGTGAATCCTCTAACACACCCACTTCATCTCTGTTCTTATCCAGGGTACAATAGAGGATGTTTCATGAGAACTGCAAGGTTAGAGGTGCAGGTACAGTACTGCAGATTCTATTCACATACAACAATCATGAGGGGTTTTTAGTATGTGCCATGTAAAATATTAACCTGATACACACTTTCACAACACTAGTTCACAAAAATACCGAATCTATGACTTCAGTATGAAGATGGTTTTTGTAACATCACCTGCTAAAAAACTTCATTAACTCCTGCTGCCCAGATTAGAACTTCTACTGCTAATCAACACATTCATTCTTCAGAGCATCCCCCTGAACATCAGTGACTGAAATCCAAGTTATCAACTGACACAGAAAGTGGAG